CTTCTGGTTATTCAACCAATGGGAGAAGACTGGTGCCGTCAGGGGCGATGGTGCACACCTCTCTGTACTTGGAGCACGTATGGCATTGCTCGTAGCCAACGCGCAGTGTACCTTTACTTCCCCTTAATTGCACGAGAGACGTGTGCCTTTGTGAGGAAAAACCATAGCGACACTCGTTATTTATTCGCTGTGTGTGTCTGCATTTAATAATGGCGGAACGGTATTTATATGGTTTACTTATTTGGTTTATTCTTTATTTTTATGTCAGCCTGAATGTGAAATTTTGGTTGTTTGAATAGAGAATATTTTCAATTAAAGATGCAGCTGCTCTGATTTGATTTACAATGTAGTTCGCTATAAGGGTGTTTAGATTTCCCATTTACAGGACAGTGGTGTGCAGGTGGAAGTATAATCACCATTTACCCGTTGTTATTGTATTTCATAGGCACTTTTTTTTTTGCGAAAAATGCAGAAACGTATCGGTTTGTTTCATCGTCTGTAATTGTTTTGTTGAAATTTTCGGGATCGGGGATTTGTTGAAACTCACAGAGTTCTATAACATTTCTCCCGATCGTTATTTAAACGATTAAAATTTTTCCCAACAACTCTAATTTAACTACTGTTTCCATAAAAACATTTATTGAAAGTTATTTTATTTAACCGGTGAGTAATACTCTGTATGAAAAACTTACTATATTGCTTGGAAAGGTTTCAGAACCCCCAAAATCTCCTGGACGCATAGTGAAAATGCGAAATTTGCAGTGAAGATAAATAACATCATTGTTGTATACCAAACAATCTCTTCTTTTCCAGCGCAATACTTTTTTTTTTCTGACTTCCTGGTGTTTCCCTTTAGTTATTCTGGACGATCACTGGTTTATGAAGTTGTTTATTTATTGGACCTCTTATTTTCTTTTCAATTTACAATTTTTTATTTTTTTTTTATCACAAATAAAAACACAATATCAGAATTGGAAGGATGACCATGAGGTTTTTTTTTTTTTCTACAGGTGCTAAAGGTAAGGTAGCATCCTGTTATTCTAATTATGCATAACTCAAAGGGTATAAATATATATATTAATATTTATCGCCGGTGTATTTAAGTCTGGAGCTGCTGGCTAAATCATCAGCCCCAATACGGTACGGTTTCGTCGTTAAGTCAGAGGAACAATAAAAAAAAAAAAAATCATTTTTCTGTACTTTCATTAAATAGACACGGAATAGAGAGATTTCACAGTAATCTTAAAGGTTTAAAACAAAAACTATAACTTTTAACGCTTCCAAAAATTAATTTTTTTTTTCCCCGTCATGAGATGTCTGGGGTTGTGCTTATGCAGAATTGGGTATGGGCTTGAAAAAGTTATCGTTAAAATAAACGGACGAACAAAAAAAAAAAAATAATAACTCAATCAAAAAGCTCTAACGTTGAAGTTATACAACAATAAAGCCCAAGTACATAAAAAAAAAAAAAAAATGATCTGGAAGTTCACCGCGGTTTTCTGTCGTATAATCATTTTTTTTTTTTTTTTTTTTGGCGATGCACTTTACCCCCTCCCGAACTCCAAATCGTAATCGGTGCCGGACCCGGCGGCCCCGCCAACCAAGAAAAAAAAATGAGGAATCTTCACGTTCCAAGAAGCGGCGCCAGGGAACCCCCTTCGTTTCTTTTTTTTTTTAACATCTGTTCTTGCGGGGCTCGTTTTCCGCCTCGATCGGGTTCTAAACCGCGATGGATCGTTTTTAACGGCGTTTTGGGCGCACGATCGCCCCGAGGTTCTGTTTTTTTTCTTTTTTCTTCCGCCAAGCGGGGGGCCCCCGCGTCCCAAGGCCAAGAAAAAGACGGCCGTCTCCTAAAGGAATTCTTCCCGCCAAAACGCCGGGGCCAGCGGGGAAAAAAAGTTGATCGCGGTGGGGATCTTCCCGCTGCCTCCCTTTCCTTGGCCCCCGAGGCCCCGGGAATTTTATTTTTCCTACGCAGTGTTATGTTTTAACCTTTGAATTTTTGGATGGGTGCTAGTTTAATATATTGAGTTTTTTTTTTTTTTTTGGAGGTTGGTGATCGTTTTTATTTTTCTTCTTTGCTTGGTTTCTCTGGTGCTGGTGTGTGGAGGTGGGAAGTGCACCCTTTTATCAGAGTTCAATTTCTATTCCGCAAGTACTGTATATCTCTCAGGTATTTTTTTTTCTTTATTGCGCAAGATTGCACTCCAAAATGAGCTTTTTTTTTCTCATTCTTGACTTATCTTTTTTGATGGCGAATTTGGTATTGGATTTCTTCTTTTGTTATTGTGAATTGCTCACTCCGTTTTTTTTATTATTGTTATTATTATTTTTGTTACTCTTATTGTGTGGTTTTTTCTATTTGTTTCTTTGATGGTGTCTGTAAATTTTTTTCTTTTATTTTTTTTTTTTTCTTTGCGTGGAGCTTGTACTTTTTTTTTTCTTTTATCCTCCTTTTTTTTATTTGTTTTTTTTTTAGCTCTTACTTCTCGTGTAGAAATCTCGTCAAGAAAAAAAAAAAAAAAAGAACCACAACAATAAAAATATTTATTAATTTCCATCATTATTTTTGAAATATGCCCGAAAAGATTAAAGTATCAGGTACAGTGGTTGAACTTGATGGTGATGAAATGACTCGTGTTATATGGAAATTAATTAAGGATGAGCTTATATTTCCATTTCTGGATGTTCCCATTGAGTATTATGATCTTGGAATGGAAAACCGTGATAGGACTAATGATCAAGTTACAATTGACGCCGCACATGCTATTCAAAAATATGGTGTTGGAGTAAAATGTGCTACGATTACCCCAGATGAGGCACGTGTGAAAGAATTTAAATTAAAAGAAATGTGGAAGAGTCCTAATGGTACAATTCGAAATATTTTAGGTGGTACCGTATTTCGTGAACCTATTATGTGTTCAAACATTCCTCGTTTGGTGACAACATGGAAGAAACCGATTGTTATTGGTCGTCATGCTTTTGGTGATCAGTATCGTGCTACAGACTTGGTTGTTAATAAACCAGGAACTTTTGAAATTCGTTTCATTCCTGCAGCCGGAGGGGAACCCGAGGTTCATAAAGTATATGATTTTAAATCTGGAGGTGTTATAATGGGAATGTACAACACTGATGAAAGTATAAAAGATTTTGCAAAGAGTTGTTTTGAATTTGCTCTTGTTAAAAAATGGCCTCTTTATCTTTCTACGAAAAATACAATTTTAAAGCGTTATGATGGTCGTTTTAAAGATATTTTTGCAGATTTGTACGAAAAGATTTATGAAGAAAAATTTAAGGCTAATAATATTTGGTATGAACATCGTCTAATTGATGATATGGTTGCCTATGCAATGAAAAGTGAGGGAGGATATGTATGGGCTTGTAAAAATTATGATGGTGATGTTCAATCAGACAGTGTTGCACAAGGCTTTGGTTCACTTGGATTAATGACATCCGTTTTAATGTCACCGGATGGACAAACCATTGAAGCTGAAGCCGCACATGGTACTGTTACACGTCATTATCGACAACATCAGAAGGGTGAAGAGACAAGTACTAATCCTGTTGCATCCATTTTTGCTTGGACACGTGGTCTTTTGCATCGAGGGAAACTTGATAATAATGACAGGCTCATGAAATTTGCAGCACTTTTGGAGCAAGTTGTTATTTCTACAATTGAATCTGGTTTTATGACCAAAGATCTTGCAATATGTATTAAGGGAATGAGTAATGTAAAACGTGCTGACTATTTGAATACCCAAGAATTTATTAATAAGCTTGCAGCAGAAATGAAGAAAAGTTTTGAAAAGAGCAAAATCTAAGTAAAAGGTCCTTGGTATGGACGACTTGTAGTAAAATAAAAGAAAAAAGAAAATGGCAAATTCACTGATAGCGATAAATTTACTTTTTTTTGTACTCTGTTGTTATCTCGTTTAGTGTTGATGAGGACTAGCGTTTTTTTTTTTTTTTTGGTCGTTTGTTTGTTTCTATAAACGTTTTTTTTTTTTTTTTTCTTTGTTGGGATCTTTATTTATTTTGGATTTGTTGGTAATATTTTTTTTTGTAAATGCAGTGCTGATTTTCCTGCTAGAATTTCTGGAAATTTTTTTTTCGTGCCTTGTACATATTTTTTTATTTTTTTTTTTATTGTTCTTACCTTTTTTCTCGATTGGATTGCATTTGGGTTCTGGTTTTTTTTTTTTTCTACAAGGGATAAAAATGCCTGAATTCGATTTGGTAAGGTTTTCTTCAGGCATGAAAGATGTCGACAGGGATTTAAGAGAAATGGCATTATTTGATTTACAACAAGTATTGAAAACTTCCGGTTTTCAATTTAGCGAAACTGATACTGGTATTATTATGGACTTGGTTTTACGGTGTTTTTCAAAGGATGAACCTGATAAAGAAGTAAGAAATGCTGCAGTCCAGGTTATTCCGCAACTTCTTCTTTTATGTAGTGAAAGACAACAGATTAAATTATGCTCATTTCTTTGTACTTCTGCGACTTCCCAAACTGCAGGTTTCGGTGAACGAGGGTATTCAGATATTTTAGATAGTTCCGCATTTGCCCTTAAGTTATGTTGTGAATTAATGGAAGAAAAATCTCGGGTAAGTGTTGAGATTTGGCAACGTCTAGGATCAATTGCGCAGTATATTAATAGTCTGCTTATTTCTAAATTGCAGGAAAATACAGAAGATGTTGTTAAAGAAAGTATTTATGATTCTATTAATACTCTTATTAAGCCATTTGGACGTTTTTATTCATGTGAGGTTCGTGATATTATGTCAAAATGTGCATTGTCCGATTTTTCTAACGTCAAACGTGTTCGTCGTCAGGCAATTACTTGTTTAGGATTATTATCACCCTTGTTGAGCGAAGAAGCGTTTAATAACGTCCGTCTTGTTGTATTTGGTGGATTAAAAAAAAATACTTCTAATACAGGATTACTTCCTTTTTTGCAATTGTATGATTTTTTGGTGAGAAATTCACCCGTTCGTGTAGCAATGGATGCAATAACTACAATGAATATTCTCCTAAAAGAAATTGAAATTCGAACGGTAGATTATGACTCTGATAGTGATGATGTATGTGATTCTATTATGAAACTTATAAATAGTATGGTGGTTCAATATCCTAATGAACTATTAGTGTTACACAGTACGTTATTTGACCGATGTCTTTCTTTAATAAACTTTGATCCTAATTATTGTAGTGACAATAAAGATAATAGTTGTAATAATAATGATGGTGATGGGGAGGAGGAGGAAGATGAGAATGAGGATTATTACATTGAATTTGAAGAAGTAGATGTGTCATGGAGAATTCGAGTATGGTCTTTAAAAATTATTTCATCTTTAATACAATTCTCTTCTATATCAAGTGAATTAATTCAGAAATTAAAGCCATCTCATTTTTTCAATCTAAACGATCGTATAGAGGATGTTCAAATAACATTTATACAAATTATAAATACCATTGCTCAATATTTAGAACCATTAAAAGGATCATTAGTGCTTTTTGAAATTTTGGATCGATTATTGATTTGTACTCATAGTTCTAATCAGAAGGTTGCCCTTATGGCGATAAGATCACTTCAAATACTTTTTTCTCTTTATGGAGATATATTAATCAATAACCCTGATAAATTATTTCGTCACTTAAAAGATCTTATGCTTCAGTGTACAAATGATAGAATCTTAATGCGATTTGAAGTGGTAATTCTGTCACATTATGTGACTGAGTTCGCTTCAAAAAAATCCGCAAATATTCCTCTTATAATAGATCTTTTACAGACTATATTGAACGTAATTTGTACATCAGAATTTGAGAAATTTAATGATCAAATAGTTCAAACTGCAAAGGCATTGACTTATATTGCTCAAATTGCTGGAAATCCTTATCCTGAACGTTGTATAACATTATTATTTTCCTTGTTAGATACAAAACCGTTAGACGTGGAAATTTCTCGCCATGCCATAGAAGCTATTGGTTTCTGTTTTCCTAAAGTTTATTTGTTACTATCAGATAAGTATGTACAGAATTGTTTGGAACGTCTAATTTATTTAGCAGAATCAAACATAAATGTGGCACAAGTTTTGAATTTAGTAGTGGAACAATCTGTTGGGGTTAAGATTTCATCAGATCTTTTGGAACATTTGTGTGGATACCTAGTTAAACATGGTTTTTCACACCAACGACTAATAGTTTGTGTTATACGTGATTTTATCAAAAATGGATCAAATATTACAGATGAATCCTTAAACCTTGTAATAAGGTTTTTGGAATTCTATGTTGTATCCAGTAAAGATTCTTTACTAGTACATTCTACCTTTGAGTTATTGAATGAAATATGTAAATATCGTGTTGAAGTATCAAACAGAATTTTTGTTGAGGTATTTCCATCACTTTGGAGAATATTACAAACGGGATACATTTATTGTGGATCATTGTATGCTCGTATTGTGGGAACTGTTTCATTAATATTGCATAGTCTTTATATACAATTACCTCAACAACGCTGTACATTAGTGCAATTAATTTTGGATCATATTTCTTCTTCTGTAGTTCCTGAAATTACTTGTGATCTCTTAAATGAAATCGCAGTTGAGGATGAAACCTTGTTAGAAAAGGTTTCAAATTTTTTTTGGGATAAAGAACCACTTGCATTATTGTGTGCAGGTACAATAGGGCGTTATCAATTATTACCAGATATTTGGAAAACTAATCTCATCAATATTCTTGCTAGTGGAGGATCAGAAAAGTTGCATCGCATTGGCTTGTTAGCAAATGGACGAGCTGCATCCAACCCTTTAAATGTTTCCTTATTATTGACACTAGTTGAACGTGCAGTAACAGAGAAAAATGATCGTTATTTATACTGGAAAGCAATAAAAGAAGCAACAATAAATGCGGCATCAAATTTCTCATTATCCTTACCGTCGTCGTCACCATTATTATTATCATCATCATTATCTTCTTCTTCTTCCTTGAGGAATCCTAATTTCTGTAAAGATATCGAAAAACGACTCTTGGAAAATGCATTAGAAGAAGACCCGGAATCTACAGCTTTGGTATTGGGAAGTTTTGCACCATTTAATTGTGATGAACTTTTTGAAATGACCTCAAGTTATTTGGATAATGATTCTGATTTAATAAAAGCGGTATGCATATCTACGCAACGATATCTTATTTTACATTACAAAGGTGAAAGCTGTACAGATCAGATATTTAGTATTATTACTAAATCTTTACAATGTTTAAATCGTACTATGGGTGTGCAAGTTCGTCTTGCAGCTTTACATCTTTTCGCTACAATAATATCATCAAAACCTTCTTTTTTGTTAACACCAATAATACGTGATATGGTGTATCCGAACCTCCTTGCAGAACTAATTGAGGATCCTAGTCTCATTTTATCGATAAATTTAGGGGGTTTTACTCATAGAGAAGACAAGGGAATTGAAATACGAAAATTGGCTTTTCAATGTTTATCAATTTTACTTCGAGATACTAAACGTCAACGGATAGGAGATATATTGGAATATTATGGGCAATCTGAGAAACTTCTTCAGTCTCTTGTTCATGGTAGTGGTCCTCAGGAGAAGGGTGAGGTGGATGGGAGCTTAAATAATCAAGCCAAAACTCTTTTAGTACAGCTTGTTAAATTATGTCCTAAATTACCTTGGAGTGATTCATTAATAGTATTGCTGTATGAAAAACTAAAAAGTGCACTGGAGGTAAAAATTGAGAGTACTGCCTCTGATGTTGAGAAAAAAAGAATGGATATGAAATATACATTGAACTGTGTAATGCATCTTACCGAATATTTACCTTTTGTTTATAACTCTAAGTTTCATTCCCTTTTTTTATTGGCATTACACTCTCCATTGTTGGCAGAGTCAATGAAACTAGTGATATAAAAAGATTATTATTATTTATTTATTTTTTTTTCCTTTTTTTTCCATTTTTTACTTCCATTAACTCTGAGTGAATTGCAGCATGTTCTAATGGGTATGAATAAGGACTTAATGCGGCAGTCTCAAGTTTTTCCTGTTTTTTTTTTTTTATGTTTTTCTTTTTTTTGACTTTTGAGTTGGGTAAAGAAACTGAAGATGCTACGGGTGGGTTTTCTTTTAAGGTGTGTTGGGAAGGAACTTGCTGTTGTAACGGGGCTCACAGATGCTGCTTTGTTAAATAAAGTTCTTTCCCCAACTATTCAACCTACGGAACTTGCTTCCATAGCGGCTGAAACGGCAGCCATGGTTCAACGTCTGACTCTTTCTCGGACAGTTATGTTACTTGAACTTTATTCACATCATGGAGTTCGTCATGAACAGTTATTTTTTAATGGTTTGTGGAAAGTATTCAAGGCGGATCGACCTTTAGTGACATGTGAGGAAGATAAAATAGTGCTACAAGCCTTTGCCGCTTCTACTGCAAATGCGTTTAAACTTATGTGTAAGGAGGGATTTTTGCATGATTCTCAATTATTAGCTATTGCATTGGGACGATGTATTGAGTGTGCTCCATTTCTACCATTTAATAGTGTTGTCGATGTTTACGAAGGTATGAAGTTGTTTGATCGGAAGTATTTTACACTTGCTGAAGTAGCATTACAAGCAGAAGAGAGAAATGAAAATGAATTACATAACTCCAGTGAAAGTTCTACCACTCTTCTCTCGAGTCAACCTAATGTGGTGGATGTTCTTTGTTGTGAGTTAGAGTTACGTTTAAAAGTAAATGGGGATGAGGGATGTAATAGTTCCCCTACAGATATCACACGCCTTGTGCAATCACTTGCTGTTGTCGGAGTAACGGACGCTAGTAGCCTTTCAGCTCTCCGCAAAGTGATGGAACCAATAACACTACCTATTGAAGTTGCTTTAAATATATTGGAGGGTATTCATGCCATTCACAAACGTGTGGTGGATGTATTAGATCATGAAGTAGATGATGATTGGATGCGGAGTGAGCGATCCATACTTGTCCAGATGTTAACTGGTAAACTCATCTCACAAAAGGTATTTTCTTCTTCTTCTTCACCTGATCCACAAATAATTTTGGGTTTTCGTCGGTTATTTGAAACTTACCCTTCCCTCGCTGAGAGTGTTCCTCAACTCTGGGATGCTGTTCGAACTGTTCGTCTCTCACACAAGCAGGTGGTCTCCCAGAGAGAGAAGATACACCGACCGAGTGATGGATTGTTTGCACAGAAGTATAACGTAAAGGTGAAGCCTATCACAGAGGATGCCTCCGAAGCAGAGAGACGTGTACCACCGCAGTTTAAGACTTGGCGTGGACCTACTGTTAAGAATCAACGGCGAAAAGGACAGGGGACACCACAGAAAATGGGATTTGGTACTCGTCGTATTTCAAAGAATTACATAAAAATGAAACGGAAAAAATTTACTCCAGCTGTATGCTGAGTTTTTTTTTTTTTTTTCTATCGCAAAATAACGACATCAAAGGCACAACACTGCGTGTAAACACATAAAAAAAAATATATATATATTATGTATTTTTTTTGTACGGAAACTGAGATTTATTTTATTTTATTTTTTATTTTATCCCCCTTACCTATTTCTCTTTTTTTTTTTCTTTTTTTTT